AAGAGCGTCACCATGTGCAGCCCACATGTTCCACGCGTTGGCAAGCGTCCCTTGCCTGCCTGCGCCTCAGGGGTTACCAGCACCCAGAAGTCGCATGCAGTACCCCAGAGATCAGGCCCCTCTGGGACGCAGATTCGGGGACGCAGATGGAAGAGCCATCCCAGAAAGCACCTCATGGGTGTGGGTAGTTCGGGCAGGCCTAGGTGAAAGAGGCCTTGAAGGCAGCGGCTTGGCTGCAAGCCAGGCTCCACCCCGGGCCCTGGCAGGACCCTGGCCCCCAGGTCTGCATCTCTGACTCCTCTGTGCATCTCCGAAGCAGGGAACACAGGACACAGCGCGAGAATCTAGGCGAGCACCAGTTACACACCCCAAGGGCTCTGGCGGGCCTGGCAAGCAGCCCTCCTACCCAGAGAGCATTGGCACCCCCATGTCCTTCCTGGGTCCTCCACCCTTTCCCATCTGCTAGGCACTGAAGTCTTAACAGTGGGCTTGCTGGGACATGCCAGGACATGGTCCACTCCCATCAGTGTCTGCGAGTTTTTGAGTTCGGCCTTCTCCTTGCTGCTCAGCTCCACAGCTGCCCCTGGTAGTCAGTGTGGAGGAGGAGGTTCTGGAAGGTGAGTGGGCACAATTGCCTGCAGTCTGCCACAGAGGACTCTGGAAGGAGCAGAGAAGACAGTGTCTTCTGCCTGGTGCACATGGGCCTTAGGAGGGGGCGCCCAGGGCTCTGCCTGTCACTAAGTCTGGGACTGATGCTGCCGTAGGATGGCACGGCCTCTCCGGGGCACCAGGACCCGAGCTGCATAAACTGTGTGGGGCTGACGTCGAACCAGAGAAGACCCTGTACTTTCAAAACCTAACTTAACAAGCAAGGGCTGCTCCATGTATGTGTGTAGGTGTGTACGTGTGTGTGCCCATGTGTACAGGTGCATCTGTGTGTACATGTGTGTGTTCACATGTGTGCAGGTACATCTGTGTGTGTGTGTGTGTGTGTGTGTGTGTGTGTGTGCGTGTCTAGGTACAAATGTGTGGCTATTGTTAAATTAAAGATAAATACTTAGGAAAAAATATAAAAATATAGTAGGTTAGCCTTGGGCCAGGCAGGTGGCACGGTGGTTAAGGGCACTGGACTCCCACATGGCTGACGGTAGGTTCAGGCCCCGACCTTGGTGCATGGCTGACGGTAGTTCGAGTCCCAGACCTGGTGGTTTGCTTTGTCACTTTCACTTTCGCTTTCTTTCTCTCTCTTTCTCTCTCTCTCTTTCTCTTCCTCTCTGGTCAAATTAAAATAAGTAAATCAATAACGTTAAATAAAATAATTCTTAAATATATATATACACACACATACACATACATACATATTAAGCCAGCGGCAGTGCCAGACACCAGGCTATCAAGTGGCTGCAGGCCATAACGGCCAGGATCCTTCACTAGTCCCCGTCCTACTTGTCTCTGGACTTCAAGATTGTTTCTTGGGAGTTTAAGACAAACTTGCACGGCTCCCCACCCCATCTGGAGACTGGTTCAAGCCAGGAACAGTGCCAGACAGCAGGTTGCTGGTGGCTACAGGCCCTAACGGTCAGGACCCATTGCTCATCCTCCACCCTTTCCTGCTTTCCTTTGGACTCTCAGACTTTCAGTGTTTTTAATAGCATGTAGTGCGCATTGTGTGCTGCGTGGTTTTTAATTTGATCCTGAGGTGAATCTTAGTAGGTCAGTTGGAGATTCACCACTCCTTAGAAACAGGGAGGACTTTGGGTCACCCAGGACCAGCGACAACAGTGCATGGTACTGGTGAGCAACAAGTAAGCAGACCAGATGAGAGATGACCAATTTTCTAATCCTGCACACCATTTAACACTCAGAAATATTCTGAATAA